TACAAAAGCTATTCAATCAAGAGCAGTGAGTGATTTCTTTGTTGTTGCTGTTTGATTAATATTAAGAAAGTGCTGTCACTTTAAGAGAATGCACTGATCTAGTGCACTGATCCAGTACGTTCAGCCGGCTACGTCTGCTATAGGATACTTACCAAGACGGGCATTTTGACATAATTTTTGTGTGAATTTGTCCATTTTAAACACTATACTTCAGAGAGAGCTTAATATTTGAGCACGTTCTGAGGCAGGGGTTTGCGCTTCGGATGAGCGCACGCACAAATCTTCTCACTTCTCACTTAAATGTTTAAACTGGCAAAGCTTAAATGAGTTTAGCTTAAACACAGATATCAACGTGTGCTGTTCAGGTCTCACCTGTGCGCGCGTGCCTCAGCACCCAGGTGATGACGGAATAAATGCTCATATTCCAGCATACGGCATTCACATTGAACAAGAGTGAATCGTTTGTCCACGTTTTTTTTTTTTCATCGCTGTTGTTGTAATGTATTGGGAAGCCAGAATGCGCATCCATCAACAGAAACATACTGTATATTTGCCGAACCCTGTTTGTTTTACGTGTTATTTATAGCAAACCATATTACAGATGCGTTGTCAGATTTAAGTTGAACCGCGGTCCTAGCGCATGCCGAACCGTGTGTGGAGAACCGTACGGTTCGAGTTTTTTCCGCGAATCTTTCCACCCCTAATATATATATATATATATATATATATATTCGCACAGAAGCTTCCTGCAATGCATTGAAGAATCACACCTGCTCTGCACCTTCATACACTCACACAGTCTGTAATCTGAATGAATAAATACAGACACACATCTTAAATTATGCATTACTGGCCTAGAGGAAGCAGGGGAGTGAAAAAAACAGAAAGAGAGACAGAGGGGAAAAAAAGACAGAGTGCTACACCCTATTTTGACTAGATCTTAGTCAGAGAAGATACATATTTAATCTGATGCAAGTGAAAATGAGCTAGTGAGAAACAGATGTACAGTGTGTGCAATATGTTGTACTGTATCTTTCAATTTGTGTAAAAAAATGTCACAATGTAAAAAATGTGTTTCAAAAAATTTTTTCAAATATATATACCCTTTATATACACACACTATTTACATAATACAATAAAATAAATATAAGGCACATACATATATTTTACAACACACAGACACATGCATCAATATGAATATAACATCTACATAATTATATTATAATAGTTATATTTTCATGACATTTAAGCCTGATTCACAGTAGCCTACTGTGCATTATAAAAAAATCTTAACATTTAAAAAGTTAACATTTTGCTTAAATGTAATTGTAAATATAATTGAATATAAAATATTCATCAGAATATATGTATTTCTTATTTGCTGTACAATAATTTAATGCTGACTTTAATAAAAAATGATCAGGATGATTTTCATATATTCTTATATACTATTTTTCCTATATACTAATTTTATGTAATAAAATAATCAAAACTTAAAGGGGAAAATGTTCGTAATTGTCAACAAAATAATGAATAATTGTCATCTAACTGAATGAATTAATATATCATATCTTAAATGCAATATATCATATCTTATATCTTGAATATGGCATCTACTCTGATTAAAATCCATATCAAGTTGGTTGCTGTAGTTTCCATTCACTGGAAATGGTGTAACACCTCCTAACACATTCTAATGTGTGCTGCCACCGTAGATATATGTTAAAAGAACGAAAAAAAAAACTCTGCATTGTTACCTAACACACATCCTTTTAACATTAGTGGAGTGTTAGTAGATACATTTGCACTTGCTTTGGCAGAGCGTGTGTGTGTATACTGTATGTGGATGTGCACGGGCCAATAGACAGGTTGCCATGGCGACGGTTCAGTTCCCAGAGCATTCTGGGGAATGAGAGTGAGGTGTGACATATATGACCTATCAATCACAATCTCCAGAGAAAGAGCAAAGGAGATCAAGAAACAGAGGAAAAAGGCCGCCTGTTAACACTTTAATGCAACCAGAGAAAA